GATATCAGGTATCCACGTGACCATCAGATATTAAACCGGGAATGATTGTTCTGATCTCACTGAGAGAGAGCGCGACAGGGAGAGAGAGAGACAGAGAGAGAGAGAACAGAGAGAGACAGAGAGAGCGAACAGAGAGAGACAGAGAGAGAGCGAACAGAGAGAGACAGAGAGAGCGACAGGGAGAGAGAGAGCAGAGAGAGACAGAAAGAGAGAGAGACAGAAAGAGATAGACAGAGAGATACAGAGAGAGCGACAGAGAGAGCGACAACAACAACTTGCATTTACAAAGCGCCTCTCGGGCAGGGTAGCGTCTCAGAGCGCATGAAACTGAGACAGAGCGACAGAGAGAGAGAGAGAGAGAGAGAGAAACCAAGAGAGCAACACAGAGACAGAGTGAGACAGAGAGCAAAAGCGAAAGAAAGCGATAGAGAGAGTGGATGTATTTCCCACTCGCACACCAGCCTTCACCAAACAGCACCGAGTGGCACATAATCAATACCTCAGCAAACAGCGCAGTGACTTGCTTCAACGTCTCACTTTATTGCTGGTATCACAGACACACACGCGCGCACACACAGAATTCTGCTCTATAAGTTACTGAGTGTGTCTGCGCCTCGCTCCTCAGCCACTCTCCCAACTTCAGACACGCGTTGGGGTACAGTTTGCTAATCAGCCGCAGGCTGGCAGCCTCTAATAGATAGTTTTCCTCATAATTATTAATCTGCTGTCTGCAGTGGTATTAATTAATCTTGTCGGGGAAAGCGAGGCACAGACAGAGCGAGAGAGCGAGAGAGATGTAACGAGAGAGAAACTCACCAGCCCGACATTCCTGACAGGTTCTCCCTCACGGCGGCTGACCTGACCACGGACCTTAAAATGGTCGTTAGAAGCTGACAGAAGATTAAGCTGCTGTAAGGGCGAGTGCTGAGACAGTGTGAGACCAGCCCAGCCCTCGCCCACGCTGTGTGTGTGTGTGTGTGTGAGCTACAGTGGACTAGTCCATCAGACGGTGAGGAGACCCGGGGGGGAGGGGGAGTGGGCAGATGGAGGGGGAACGAGCTGTGCTGACAGACAGATGTTCCACACGAGGGGTAAATAGGAAATCTCTGACGCTGTACAGAAACGAGCTGACACCAGGCACATTTTAATGAGGCTCCTGTTCGCCATCAGTTAACCCTTTCTGATCTAACAGGGCGTTGAGAATGCTGACGAGTCTCCGTGGCCTGGAATTCCAGCCGCTCTCAAACCATCCCACCACGCTAAGCGTGCCAGCTTGCCTCAGTTGGCAGCACTCTCACCTCTGAGTCAGACGGTTGTGGGTTCAAGTCCCCAGGTCGGGACTTGGAATCACACAACCTAAGCTGACGCTCCAATGCTGTGCTGGGGGTGAGGCTGCATTGTCAGAGGTCTTGTCCTTCGGATGAGATGTTAAACCGAGGTCCTGTCTGTTCAGATCCTGTGGTGCTATTGGAAAAGAGAAGGGAGTTTCCCTCTCCCGGTGTCCTGGCCAACAATCCCCCACATAAAATTGGTCACTCACTCTACGGCTGTTTGTGGAACATTGTTATGTGCCATTGGCTGCCATCAAACACTCTGTGACATCCATATTCTTTCTGATTGTGGTGAAAGATGCTCTGCCCCTTCCCCTCCTCCCACCAGGGTTCCCCCCCCCCACCCCTCCACCAGGCTTGCTCCCCCCCCCACCCCCCCCCACCCCGGGCTCACCCCGCTGCCTGCAGACTTGGTAGCTTCCAATATATCATTACACAGAGTAAAGGCCGGGGGTACGCTAAACCTGTGGAATCCAATGGCCGATAATTCACTGAAAGAGGCTTAGTGCACAAAGCGCAGCAACCTCCTAAATATAGCCCGCGCTCTCCTCACTCCCTCCCCCCCGCCACCACCAACGCCACCAATGACACCCTTCCCACATTTAATTCCTTCTTCTCTTCCTCTCGGGACGTTGCCCAGGTGCGGCGGCATTTGTTGTTGATTACGGCAACACTGGCTCCTCGACATTTATAATAATATTATTAATATAATAATCCTTGCATTTGATATGGTGCTTTATCACGTCTTTTAGATGTCTCAAAGCGCTTCACAGAATATACTGTAAAGTGCAGTGACTCTATTTTGAGGGCGAAAAAGGAAACTTTCAAAAGGGGATTGGACAGGTACTTAAAAAATGTGCAAGGCTGTGGGATAGGAGCAGGGGGAGTGGGACTAGTTAGGGTAAGAGCAGGGGAGAGGGACTAGTTGGGGTAAGAGCGGGGGGAGTGGGGACTAGTTGGGGTAAGAGCGGGGGGAGTGGGACTAGTTGGGGTAAGAGCGGGGGGAGTGGGGACTAGTTGGGGTAAGAGCGGGGGGAGTGGGACTAGTTGGGGTAAGAGCGGGGGGAGTGGGACTAGTTGGGGTAAGAGCGGGGGAGTGGGACTAGTTGGGGTAAGAGCGGGGGGAGTGGGACTAGTTGGGGTAAGAGCGGGGGGAGTGGGACTAGTTGGCAGCTCTTCCAAAGAGCCCAGCACAGGCACGATGGGCCACGTGGCCTCCGTCTGTGCTATAGGATTCTCTGATACACTGTGAAATGGAGTGACTGTATATTTTATGGGGGAAAAAAATAAAGGATTGTATGTGCGTGCGAGGGTTGGCTGGTGGAGGCGGAGGGGGAGGGGAATCTGTGAAAGAGCTATAAATCCACTGACAGATTGGCGAGGCAGAGCTTGCTCCCCCCACTCCCCCAACCACCCCCACCAGTCTGTGTCTGATTCCCGACGACAGCAGTAATCTTCACAGCCAATTCCCATTGTCCTGTCGTTAGTGATATGGAAAAGGTTATTTGCAGCGTCACAGAGACAACGCATTGTGTGCGATAGGAAGCCGAGAGAGAGAGAGAGAGAGAGAGAGAGGTGCTTTGGAAAATGTACAGTAGAGCAGTGCCATTGCGTCAATGCTTCACACCCGGTCTGTGCCCCCGGGGACTGCCTGGGGTGGGGGCGGGGGGGGGTGGGGAGGGGAGAGGCAGACTCACACAGCTCCTCCCCCTCGCAGACACACTGCTCCGGGAAGGGAGGGAGCAACAGCTATTGAGGTCCAGCCTCGGATGGCAACATCTGTCACAATAACGATAATCCGTGCGTTCCATGTCACCCCTTATTATCACGTCAGAAATGTCACACATTGAGTCCCAGGGTTTCCTGTGGATTGGAGTGACCGTTACAATAATAATTCCCTCACAGAATATAATGTAAAGTGGAGTGACTGTATATTTTGTGGGCGAAACACGGCAGCCAAGTGCACAGCAATGTGTCCCAAACAGTCGTGGATCGAGTGTCCAAATTGTTGTCATTTTTTTTTGAATGATTATTACCTCCGGAAAAGCGATCTTCCAATCGACCGAGTGAACGACCTATTTTATCTGGGGGGGCTTGTCGGCCAGGACACCGGGAGAGAGAGAGAAACTCCCTTCTCTTTTCCAATAGCACCGCGGGATCTTTAACGTCCACCCGAACAGGGCACAGACGGGGAGTGAGGTTTAACATCGAATGTGAAGGGTGGCAATCCAGAGCTACCTCACCACACCCAGCACCACACTGGAGCATCAGGCTGGACTGTGCGAGCTCAAAGCCCCCATGTGGGGATTGAACCCACATCCTACTGACTCTGGGGCAAGAGTGCTACCAACTGAGCCAGGCTGACAAAGGGGCAGAGAGCGAGAGGGAGAGAGAGATGGAGAGAGACACACACACAGGGAGAGACAGAGGGAGAGACTGAATTGAATTCAGTGCTCAGTGCTTGGCTGCTGATGTGAACAGTGTGTGCTCTGTGCTGTGCTATCAGTGACTGTCAGTGCTCGGGGCTGGTGTGAGTGTGTGGGAGGTCAGTGAGTAACTGGTGTCCAGGGCTTGGTGGTGGCTGTAACCGTCACTCTCTGCCTCTCGCCCACAGGGCTTCCTGAGACCCCCATTCCCTCCCCCACGGCAACAATAGTATCCTGATCTCCCCGCTGGGGCATGACAACCCAGGCTGCTGGTGAGGGGGTGAGGAGGGAAACTTTGGGTCTATCACTGTGTTTAAATCAGGAGATTTCAACCCACAAAAGACCCAGTCACTCCACTTTACAGTGTATCCTGTGAAGCGCTTTGAGATGTCTCGAAGACTTGATAAGGCGTTGTATCAAATCGAGGATATTATTATTATTATTATTATTATTATTTTTGCCGGGTTTCTCGCTGTGCGGTCTCTGGGTTGGGCTCACACACCATTCGCGGCTCTGACACGTTCAGAATTCGGATGGATTCTAAGACAGAAAACAGTGGCGCAGAGTAAAACCAGGTGGAATTTCTCTCCCCTGGAGTGGCCTGACCCCAGACGACAACAACTTGCATTTACAGCATCCCAGAGCGCTTGTATCCCCCTCTCCCCCTCTAGCCCGGGGGGGGGGGGGGGTATATATCAATGATTATCAAGCGCACTATGGTGCTCAGAGGGTTAAACCACCTTAAAAACTTCCCACAGACTCATCATCAAGTGTGTTACTAAACACAGAGAGAGAGAGAGAGGGACATCAGTGGGAACACTCAGACCGCGGGTCAGACCGGTGTTCGTTCCTTTAAGCTTTTGAGTTTTGATGTGACATCAATAATTCACTCAGAAATATTAATATTTTATATCCCCCACCATTCCCCCCCCCCCACCCCCCACCCCCCCAGCCCCCTCCTCCTCCTCTCCCCCCGGGTGGAAATCTCTAAAGTGCAGGAGTAAGAGGAGGGCTGGTACCCGGGGAGGAGAGGAGAGGAGAGGAGAGGAGAGGGTGGGATGGGGGTTGTCTGGACCTGTACTGATGCTGTTTTGCTGCTGCAGAATCTGGGAGTTCCCTGCACTGACCAGTCGTACAGACAGACAGACAGGGAGATGGAGAGACAGACAGACAGACAGACAGACAGGGAGATGGAGAGACAGACAGACAGGGAGGGAGGAGGGAGGGAGGGAGGGATACTCACCCTGAGGCTGTCTGGAGCAGAGCGGCTTTTCCAGGTGCCTGTGTTGTAGGGAACCATTTGCCGTCATCCCATCTCCCCCCACAGCCCCCAGTAACCAGTCACCCTCTCACAGCAAACCCACTGCACCCACCCAGTCCCCAGCTCCCCTGCCACACACACACACACACAGCACAGCACAGCACAGCACACACAGCACACACAGCCCAGCACACACAGCCCAGCCCAGCCCAGCCCAGCACACCCAGCCCAGCCCAGCCCAACACACACAGCCCAGCCCAGCCCAGCCCAGCACACCCAGCCCAGCCCAGCCCAGCACACACAGCCCAGCCCAGCCCAGCACAGCCCAGCACACACAGCACAGCCCAGCACAGCCCAGCACACACAGCACAGCACAGCCCAGCCCAGCACAGCACACACAGCCCAGCACAGCCCAGCCCAGCCCAGCACAGCCCAGCCCAGCACACCCAGCCCAGCCCAGCCCAACACACACAGCCAGCCCAGCCCAGCCCAGCACACCCAGCCCAGCCCAGCCCAGCCCAGCACACACAGCCCAGCCCAGCCCAGCCCAGCACAGCCCAGCCCAGCACACACAGCCCAGCACAGCACAGCCCAGCCCAGCCCAGCACAGCCCAGCCCAGCACACACAGCCCAGCACAACACAGCACAGCCTGGCTCACTGCTGCCCACATCCACTGCATCCAGAACTTAGGTCCCGTCTGCCCTGTTTTGAATCGTAAGGATAATAATATTTTTTATAATCCTCTCATTTGGTGCAGCGCATCATCCACATCAAAATGCTTCAAAGCGCTTCCTGTAAAGTGGAGTGACTGTTTGGTTCGTGGGGGGAATGCAGCAGCTAAATTTTGTGCACACACACAGTCTCTCTCTTACACACACACAGTCTCTCTCTTATACACAGTCTCTCTCTCTCACACACACACACACAGTGTCTCTTTCTCACACAGTCTCTCACATACACACAGTTTCTCACACATACTGCGGGTTTGTCAAACGGGAAAATAACCGAGCAATTCACTCACTGTCAAACACCTCAAAATGCTTCACAGGGAATCACCCCTCCCCCCTCTCCCTGGAACTCCATCCAGGACCCCCTAAGCCATGACACCTCTCTTGCCTCCTTCAAGGTCCATTTCAAGAATGTCCTTTTCGAGTGCGTCTTCGGTCACCATCACATCCCCACCCCCCGTTGCCCCCTCCCCATCCCTCCTGATCCTAACCCGCAGCTCAGGAGGAAACCCTGCATTGTCCAGCACCTTGGGACATCCTCCTGATGTGAAAGGCGCTGTATAAAAAATAAAAACTACATAAGAATACAGCAGTGACAGCCCCCCCCTCCCCGTCCAGCTAGTTCGTGCTGGGGTATATACTCCCTGTGAACTCCCCCCAATTCCCCGCTCCCTCGGCTGCAAGTGGCCTGAGTTTGTCAGTCAGTTGAGGAATGTTCCGGATGGTGAACGGCTGACAGAAAGGCTTTAAATAATGCAGGTTTATCGATCTCAGGTTGTTGATTGCCGACAGTGAGATAGTGCTGTGTGAGGGCAAGTGTTCATTAACCCCCCAGGAAGAGGCGCTGGGACGAGCAGCGGATAATAATAATCGAGGACGTCGTCCTTCGGATGAGACAACAACAACAACAAATTACATTTGTATCGCGCCTTTCACGTCAGGAGGACGTCCCGAGGCACTGGGACATTAAACTGAGTTCCCCGTCTGTGCCCTGTTCAGGTAGAAGTTAAAATATAATCATAATGATAATACTAATCCCTGCATTTGACACAGCGCCTGAACACGTCTTCGAGACGTCTCAAAGCGCTTCACAGGACACACTGTGGAGTGAATTGACTGTGTATTTTGTGGGTGAAAGATCCCAGAGAAGTGTTCCCAGACACTAATCCTCCAGATACATTGTGGTGTGTGTGTGTGTGTGTGTGTGTGTGTGTGAGAGAGAGAGAGAGAGAGAGAGTCTTCGCTGAGCACAAATCTGCTGCTGCCACATTCGCCTACCGAAAAAAAACAGTCCACACAGATACCCCCACACACACAGTCAATACCCCCCCACACACACACACACAGTCAATACCCCCCCACACACACAGTCAATACCCCCACACACACAGTCAATACCCCCCCACACACACACAGATACCCCCCCCCACACACACAGATACCCCCCCACACACACAGATCCCCCCCACACACACACAGATCCCCCCACACCACACAGATACCCCCCTACACACACACAGATACCCCCCCACACACACTGATACCCCCCCCACACACTTCAATACCCCCCCACACACACACAGTCAATACCCCCCACACACACACAGATACCACCCCCCCACACACAGTCAATACCCCCCACACACAGATACCCCCCCACACACACACAGATACCCCCCCACACACACAGATACCCCCCCCCACACACAGTCAATACCCCCCCCCACACACACAGATACCCCCCACACCCAGATACCCCCCCACACACACAGATACCCCCCCACACACACAGTCAATACCCCACACACAGCATACCCCCCCACACACACAGTCAATACCCCCCACACACACAGATACCCCCCACACACACACAGATACCCCCCCCCACACACACGATACCCCCCACACACACACAGATACCCCCCCACACACACCTCAATACCCCCCACACACACAGTCAATACCCCCCACACACACAGATACCCCCCACACACACACAATACCCACCCCCCACACACACAGATACCCCCCCACACACACAGATACCACCCCCCACACACACAGCAATACCCCCCCCACACACACACAGATACCCCCCCACACACACAGATACCCCCCACACACACAGATACCCCCCACACACACACAGATACCCCCCACACACACACAGATACCCCCCCACACACACACAGATACCCCCCCACACACACACAGATACCCCCCACACACACACAGATACCCCCCCACACACACAGATACCCCCCACACACACACAGATACCCCCCCCACACACAGCAATACCCCCCACACACACAGATACCCCCCCACACACACAGATACCCCCCCACACACACACAATACCCCCCACACACACAGATACCCCCCCCACACACAGATACCCCCCGCACACACAGTCAATACCCCCCACACACACAGATACACACACAGCATACCCCCCACACACACACAGATACCCCCCACACACACACAGCAATACCCCCCCCCACACACAGATACCCCCCACACACACAGCATACCCCCCCACACACACAGATACCCCCCCACACACACAGTCAATACCCCCCCACACACAGCAATACCCCCCCCACACACACAGCAATACCCCCCCACACACACAGATACCCCCCCACACACACAGATACCCCCCCACACACACAGATACCCCCCCCCACACACAGCAATACCCCCCATACACACACAGATACCCCCCCCACACACACAGAATACCCCCCCACACACACAGCAATACCCCCCCACACACACAGCATACCCCCCACACACACAGATACCCCCCCACACACACAGATACCCCCCCACACACACAGATACCACCCCCCACACACACAGATACCCCCCCACACACACAGATACCCCCCACACACACAGATACCCCCCCACACACACACAGATACCCCCCCACACACACAGATACCCCCCCACACACCACAGATACCCCCCCACACACACAGATACCCCCCCCACACACACAGATACACCCCCCCACACACACAGATACCCCCCCACACACACAGATACCCCCCCCACACACACAGATACCCCCCCCACACACACAGATACCCCCCCCACACACACAGATACCCCCCCACACACACAGATACCCCCCCCCACACACACAGATACCCCCCCACACACACACAGATACCCCCCCACACACACAGATACCCCCCCACACACACAGATACCCCCCCACACACACAGATACCCCCCACA